GTTTAATTTTGAACATGTTCAAACCAATTTAGTACATTTTGAAAGGCCATATCTTTTTCAATTGGACTTCGATTTAGTCCATTCAAAAACCGACGGACTCTATTTTACGAGCGCTATCAAATTATAGTTTGAGAATCAAGTTTTTGGTAATTTTGAAGAAAGTCAGTCTTCGGTTCAAAACGTTCCTGTGTCAAAGAAGCCATTATTAAAACCTCGGATACCTTGTTATTAGCATCATCCTTTCAACAAGTGCGTTAATTTCATAATTCCAGATTTAGTCATTTTAGAGATAAATTCTAATCACAAAATTAAAGGGTCACGACTTTTAATGATCTCTAGATAATTTGTAAGGGGAGGTTCTGCTATGCAATTCTTTAATAATTTTGGGAATCAGATTATTTTTTTCAAGCCAAAAGAAATGTATATTTCTCCATACAACAAGAAGGCTTATCGACATGGATATTTGAATCAATATTACTCTAGTCGATTTTCTAGAGAGATAAGTAATATTTTCAATTTTTTTTTACTTTCAAATAAAGTAGTGGTGGTATTTAGTATTATTTTTGTTACTAGTATACCGTGTTACATTAAACATTCCTCACAATTATAGCAGTTGGTAGTATTATTAAATTTTCTCATGGCTAGTAAAGGAGGTGGAGATATTTTTAAGGTAGAAAAATTGAACGGTATAAATTATCGTATGTGGAAGCATAAATCACTTACATGCTCACACATGAGAAAACCTATTACATAGTCAATACAACAAAGCCCAAATAAAATGTTACATATTCTAAACAAATAAATTGGTTGGAGGAAGATAATGATCTAGCCCAAGCCTCAATTCTATTTAGCATGCAAGATGATTTAATTCCCCTTTATGACGATTTTAAAACTGCTAAGAAAATTATGGATGCACTCGAGACTAAGTAAGGTCTTGTATCTGATATGCATATACGATTGCTATTAGATAAGTTTAATGGGATGCATATGTCCGAGGGCAATAAAGTGATGGATTATGTACCTCAAATGGAATTACTTACAAATGATTGATTAACTGCTGGACATCCATTTACTGAAAAGATGCAAGTGACCACTATTCTTAATGACCTACCAAATTCATGGAATCATGTGGTTACTTCTTTGACCTATGGAGGAAAAGATTTAACTATGATCACATTACCAACCATATTGGCACTTGAGGAGGAATGAAAGAATAGAAAAAGAAAAGATAATGATAGTGGAAAATTGTTGATCGTTGAGGCATCTGTATCAAAACCGGAAGTGCAACACAAGAAACAAAGGAAATGGAAGAAAAATGGAAAACAATGGTTCAAATTCAAAAAGTTCAACAACAAAAGCAAATGGACGTGTTTCGCTTGTGGATAAAAAGGGCATTTCAAAGCAAATGTTTGAACAAGCAAAAGGGCAAGCAAAATGAGGCAGTTATATGACTATTTTTGAAGTGATGCTACTTGAAGATTCAAAAGAACAATGGTGGATTGACTCTGGTGCAACTAGACACATTGCGAGGGACAAAGAGAGCTTCTCAGAAATCAATGAAAAGGCACCAAGTGAGCATCGTATTTACATGGAAAACAATACATATTGTGATGTCCTAGGAGAATTCAAAATTGATATATATTATTTACGAAATAAGACCGAATTGTTTTTACCTATTTTCTAAACCTTGTTTGAGTGTGGGAGGAATGTTGCTACAGAACTTATTGCTCGCCCCCTACAAACTATATTTTCAGATTGTGGCCTAGAGGAAGAGCTCGGGGTTGAGGAGCCAACACATTGGGAAGCTCCACTAGACGGACTCGTGGATCCCGAGGTGGATGTCTAGGGTTATATCCCTCCTAGATGCTAGACTAGGGGATTTCTTTTGATGTTATGTAAAGACTAAACTTTTGTTATTCCGCTGCAAATTTGAATGTAATTCTTTTGGGGATGTAATTATCACAGTCGATATTATATTCTTTTGGAAATGATATGATAATTGCTACTTTTGATGAATGAAAGTTTCTTTATTGGTGCATTTATTTAGTTGCTCTCATGAGGTGAATGATTTTAAATTGTAATGTCGTCCAAGGTGGTTTTTGGGGCGTTACAATTCTATTAATCAGAAATTGGAGTTACACTGTCAAGAGAGGGAACTAAAAACAAAAGAGCAGACTCCCTCCGTACAATAATAACATCCTTACAATTAATTGCAAATCTAGCTGAAACTTATGGAATAGTTCCATGAGTTATTAGCTGCACCATGTTATATATGCATTTACTCCAAAAATTCTAAAATTGTTCTCAGAAATTTGGTGGTTGGCCTGTCAAATTGATTCCTCTGCATAGGTTTTTTCATTCTTAACCAAAAAGGGTCTGATCCTACAGCTTTGCATGAATTAGGAATCATATTATTTAAGTAATGGAATATTTGGACCTTATGAATTAATTTGAAAGTCTCTGAGCTTTACTTAGTTGACCCAAAGTGGTGTTTTACTTGGTATTAGAGATATGATATGATAAAAAAAATTCATCAATGCTTAGATAGAAATGCAATAAAATTCAAAGAGACCATTAATATTTAGGTTGTTTAGATAAATATCGATAATGATTAATTAATGGGCTTTTTATCCAATAGTACTCATTGTCTTGTGAAAACTTTGTTTTCTTGAGGTTAAAGGTTCAAGTTTCCCCTCCATTAAAAAAAAAAAAGAAAAAAAAGATAATTATTAGACTTGCGTGATCGATACGTATATTTATCATATGTAATTCTCACAATATAAATAAGATTGAGTCTCACACAATAAATAATTGAAGAATAATATATCGATGTAACTCATAGAGCAATGGGTCTGTGGATATAGGTCTTATAGACCGAACCGCGTTAATTCGTTTGTGCTTAATTTCTCATTCATATTATGAATTTCTTGATGTCTCTTTAGATCTTTTCATATTTTTACCTACATATTGATGAATTTCTTTTAATACTATCATATCTCTAATAATTGGCTGATAGTTGAGGCCATTTAAGGTGGTATTTGATCATAAAGTTAAAAATCAAATATTGAAAAGTGAATCATAAATTTTAAGAGTTGAATGTTAAAGTTTTATTCTACAATTGTTTGGTATGTATTAAAATTTGAGTCATTGGTTTTAATGAAATATTTAGATTAATATAAGGAGTTGAATGTTGAATATTATTATTCTCCAATTTTGTCCTTCCACACTACTACCTCTACCCCATCCCAATACCACCCCAATACAAACATTGCCACAACCATTACCACCTTACTATCGCCACCACAACCCTACCACTGTCTCTGTGACCACCCGGGTAGTTGTGGGGGAAGTGGCAAAATGACGTTGGTGGTAATGGTGGTGGGGTGGTATGGGGTGATGGTAATGATAGGGTACTAGAAGGGTTGTGGCAAATGATGGTAGGGTAATGGTGGTCGGATTATGGCCATACTGATGCTAGTGGAGGTGGAGTTTTGGGGATGACAATGGTTCTCGAGTTGTGGTAGTGGCGATTGTGGTTGGGTGATGGTGTTGGTGGCAACAGTAGGTGGAGATAATAGCGACAATGATGGCAATGATGGAAGCAATGTGACACTGCTGATTTTGAGATGATAATGGTAGTGGTTGGTGAGTGGTGATGATGGTGAAAGTGGTGGTGGGTTGTGGAGAGTTGGGGCTTGATAGATCTAGTTTAAAATATTTGATGATTAATTTGTACATTATAAAAAATTTAAACACTATATTCATCGATAACTTCAGCATTTAGTGAAAAGTAAAACTTTGCCACTTTAATATATATATTTTTTTAATAAATATTTTAAATTATAAATAAACTTGAGTAATAATTAACAAAAACACTCGGTACAAAATGTATGTAATAGTATCAATTTTAAGTGGGCAAGCAACCGTTGGAGATTCTTAAAAAGCTTATCAAAATATATATATGCAGAAGGCAGGCTAGTGGTTTTAGGTGAAGTTGCCATTATTGATAGGGTGTTGAAAATGTATAATAATAAAATGATAGGATGTTGAAAATGTAAATTAATAAAATGATAGTGTTGAAAATGTAAAATAATAAAATGATTGGTGCATACACACCCAATAAATTATAACTTAACCCCCAAAAGATTATTACTTGAATATCAAAATTATAACATGACCCTATAAAATTGTATCTTTTTAGGATCGGTTCTAGTATTTTGTGATCAATTTTAAACTTTTTTTGTTGTATTTAGACCCTCGAAACTTATATCTTAGCCAACAAAAATAATAAACTTATGGTACCTCTTTTGTTCCGAAGTCAAATCTTATTGATTGGATTAGGGAGGAGATTAATTGAAGTGCATATAAGTTGATTCAGATACTCTTAACCATTGAACTTAAAAAAATTATTGAGAAGGTCAGCAAGAGGACGGTAATTCTTAGCAAAATCACCTTGTACATGGCCCAGCCCGATGGCCAAGCTTCAATCGGGTCATCGTTCAGATATTCGCCCATCATCTGGAGGGGCTAGTGACGGTCTATTAGCCCAGCAGTCGAACTTTGGCTGCATTGTTGGCCCACCTCAATAGATGGGCTAGAAGGCCCAAAATGACATGTAGAGAAGGCCCATGGCCCACAAAAATTTAAAGTTATTTCATTAATTTACAAAAAAAAAAAACAGATTTTATGACCTGATTTAAACTTGACTACTCTCATACCTTAATAAAACGAATATTGTTTTTGTTTTTAGCTACAAAAATGCCTTTATTTTTCATGACAAAATGATCATATATCTAATCTACTAGATACGAGAAAATTTAATTATTAATTTGATAGCTTGATATTGTTACATTAATTCCTCCAAACCAAGCAAAATACTAGGTTAAGACACATCATATCATTACCGAATTTGATATAATATGAGATATTTTACTAAATCTCAACATCCCGGTAAATCGGACGGTGGCCGGACCATTTGAGTCCGAGGAGTTGCACCATCTTTAACTATGAACACCATACCCATCCCCCAGCTCTGGTGTCGCTCTAGATGGCAATGCATCAACCACACACCTGCATAATTGCAATAATGTCACATCATATACGTTTGGAAATTCGGTCTAAATCTCCTCCCATACACGTTTTCTCGGTTTATCTTTAAACTAAATCATTCATCATGTACCGTAAGGAACCTAATTATATATATATGTCTCAAGTATCAAAATTTTATTTTGATGTATAATTTCAATCAATTTGAAAATCAAAACGTTCGAAAAATGTTTCAAGAAGAACTTAAATTTTTATATTCGAACATTTTAAAACATGTGTTAAATCATTTTGAAATATCTCAAAATACTCCAAATCATAAAAATTTCAATATTCAATCAACGTCGTATTTCAATTACTCCACTAAAAAGTTTTTGTTTTGGGTGAAAACGAAACGAAATTTTGATCCTTCTCACTCCAATACCCTTGCCCTGAAGTATAATTGAAAAAATTAAGAAAAAATGTACAGGAATGTATATATAATATATATATATATATATATATATATATATATAGAGAGAGAGAGAGAGAGAGAGAGAGAGAGAGAGAGAGAGAGAGAGAGAGAGAGAGAGAGAGAGAGAGAGAACAAAACTAAATTTTTTACAAAGGCCACCCATCCATTGTTGGGAATTCCAACAGTAGTTTCTTCAGGGGGATCAACAAGATTATACCTTAAAGGGTCCTTTATAGGGTCAAAATTCCCAAAGCCCCAACCAACAACATAGAAGCTATATCCATGCAAATGAATGGGATGGTTGTCACTTGCTAGCACATTAGTCCCTTGCAAAATCAACTCAACACCAGCATTGTACTCCAAAACCACTACCCTAGTACCAAACTCCGGCACCAGAAGATTTTCAGGTAGTTTTTTTCCGGTGTAATCGAATTTCCGAGGTGGGTTTATCGGAAAATCCTCCTTGAAAACATCATGAATTCCATAATAGTAAGCTCTTAGCACATCAATAGATAGTGGTATCACAAAAGCTGATGTTATTAATACTAGCTGAGAACCTTTTACCAAAGGGACCATTGCATGGTTTTTGAGTACTACAGTTTAGTAAATTCACAGAAACAGTGAAAAACAGATGTTTTTCCACAGTTAATGGGACTTTGGAAGGGTGTTCTTCAGTTGCAAGGCTCCTTAATTGTCTCGGGAACTCAGTTGACCTTCGTGTGGCATTAAAAGGAGGGAGACGAGGGAAAAAAGGCAATGGGGTCGGGTCGTATGATTGTCGATATTGCACGATTGCTGTGGTGGTTGTGGTGTCAAAATGAGCCCCAAAGGCACTGGAATATGATCTAGCAGCCATGTAGTAGAGGCTAGGAGGTTGGTTTGCTTGTAGGAGGACATCCATGGACTGGCCTGGTGTGATCATTATGTGATCTGTTTTGAAGGGTTTTGTGTAGCATCCATCTGTTCCTAGTAGGATTAATTTGTGTTTGGCAATGGAGAAGAAGAGATTTTCATCCATGACTGCACTAACTATCCGAAGGAGATAGGTCTTTCCTTGCTCCACTGTTATTTTGAATGTGTCTGTAAGAATGGGAAAGGATAAAGTTTAGGATTCTTTCTGTAGATAAAGCGGACAATGTTGGTACATCTACTCCAAAAATCAATCGTTAATGGGTGATGTGATCCGTCAAGTATATAAACTAATTTTAATGGTCTTAATTATTTAATGTAAGATACAAGCTCTTTTAACCACATCTCTCATATGAGATTAGGGATGGCGGTAGACCGAAGCGGGGGTGGAGGGTATAGTCTTCATTTCCGTACCCACTTAAAAAAATCTGTCCGTTTCCGATTCAACCCATTAACGGGTATATTTTTCATCCCTATTCCCGTTTTCATCTCTGTACGAGTTTATATGAGTATCCTTATATATGTCTACCATCCAATACGTATGGTCTATCCCCAGTCCAAATGAGACGGGTTTAGACAAATACCCATTTTTACCCAGTTCATTGCCATCCCTACGTGAGACTTTGACTCAAACGTGGGGTTAAACCACAAACAAACAATAATTCATACCAAAAAATTCAAATAAGCAAGAGAGTTGACTCTGTTTTGATATCATGTTAGATCATCTCCAAAATCAATTGGCAATCGCTAAAATGACCCCCAAAGTATATAAACCAACCTGATACTAATTATTTAATGTGGAATACAAGTTCTCTTACTATGACGTAGGCTATAGTTCTATTTTTTGTCTCTAAAATAAATCCATTTTTTCTCTCTCTTTCGTTATGCATTAAGGAGATTTGTATTAGATTTTTAGGACGAAAAATACTAAAACATTTTAAAAGAGAAAGGATATTACTATTTTTATACTAAATTGTAAACTCATGAGTTGTTGCACTTTGGGTTAAAAATATGGGCTTATGTATGTAAGTTTAAATATAAGTGTGCGTGCTAGATCTTGCACAATATAAAAACGAGAACAGATATCTCCCTTGGCGAACTCGAGTGAGTCAGTTGAGTGGTCAACCACGCTGCTTGGAACAGCCTGTGAGATCCGGTGGTAACCTGGAATGGTAATGGAAGACCCTCGCCGATCAAAGGAACGATCCAGTAAGACTGAAGAAAGGTTCCTGGAACAAAGAAGAACAAGTTAGAAGGGCGCCAGAGTGTTTTTCGGCGTATCCCCTCCGACGATCAAGTCAGTTTTTGAGAGAGAGGGGAAGAAGAAAACACTGAGTATATTTTGTAGCAAAAGTTTCACCCCTCGTTCTTGCCTTTAGTGAGGAGTATTTATACCTCAAATACTCATGATTGTTATCAGTGTGGTCAGTAGGTGATCATTAGATACAGGCAACGTGCGCACTGATTCCTATTAGGAATGTCTTCTCTCTTAACTGCTTGGGACCCCGAACAATCAAGTCTGTGTCATCGGCCTGCCGACGGTTCAATGAGCTCCTCTCGGGGAGGATGCAATAAATGTCCAGCCTTAGAGACATTTATTGTCTTTCACTTCTGAGCCTTACCGCATTGAATGTAGTCTCATCAAGGGAATGGTGTAATTAAATGCTTGTTTTCCCAAGTCGCGTGTCAGCAAGGTCACGCGATTTTTCTGTCTCTGATGTGACACAATATGCCACGCGTCCATTCCTCATTGGCTGTGGCCCTTGCCTTCCTGTGCCTTCTGACATCAATTGTGTAAGACGAGATCATGATAGCGAACCTAACCTAGTCTAGGCTAGTGACTAGTGCATCAATAATTTCTGCTGGAGCAGAGAACTTCATCATGGATGAGAGGGGGGTACATCTCGGTACCGAGGAAGAGGTACATTTCAGAACCGAGGAAGAGGTACATCTCGGAACCGAGGAAGAGATACATCTTGAATCCGAGAGGGGGGAGCCTAGCGACCGATGTACCATATCAGACCGAGGGTACGTGTCGGCACATAAAAACGTACTGGATGCCACTCGACCCCATGATAAGTACCTCGGGGTATAGGGGACTTGTGACCCCGATGGGTACGTGATCTCGATAAACAAGGATCAGTGACACCGAGGACACGTGTTTTCATCTTGAAGTATTCCGGAAATGTCCCATCAATAAAGAAGTAGTGTTATTGATTAAAAACAGTATTTATGCAAAAAAAAAAAAAAGAGAGAGAGAGAGGAAGACATGGTGCTCTGCTAATCATGTTATAATGGAGCAATCTTATTATCGTGTCCGCCTTTGTAACTCCGTGAAGAAACACATATCTTGCTAATAACGCAAGTTTAAGACATAAGTACCTTGTTTGGAGCATGGATAGAGATCTCCCGGCTGCCCATTGATGGTGTAGGCATCAGAAAGTAAGGGTTCTCCTCCTGTTTTATTTGCATTTCCTGGTATTTCCATGACATCTTTCTTCCACCATTCTCCTACAGCGAATGAACATAGGCCATGTAGAATTGGTAAAAAAAAACGCAACTGAAATTCTTGCAAATTAAGTATCAAATTAACTACCCATAAATTTCCAGTAATCGACGAGTTTGAAATTTATGGGTAAGATAATCAAATTGATTAATACAGTTGTAGAAGGTTTCAAAATTGCACATGTGTAATCATTACATTTGAACTTCTATGAATCTTATTTATTTGACGGATTCAGCAGTCCACCCATAAAAAATTGGTGAAGATAAATATAAATCTATTAACTAAGTGTCGATTTAGTATCGGATTACGGGTTGTATTTAAAATTAACATGCATAACATTCATGTTGCTAATCAAAGTACCTAGAATGATTGGAACCTCGGAGTATGGTTTGGGAAAGGGATAATGAGCTCCATGGATTGGATAAACAATGATCATTCCATGAACAGTTGCTCTTGCCCACCCACTGTGTGCATGCCACCATATTGTTCCTTCTTCTGTAGTCAAATGGAACTTGTAGGTGTACCTCTTCCCTGGCCTAATGGGGGCACTGAGTGATATATTCAGCCCTATCTCTGACCATGGATTTCTTCTTTGTCTCACTCCATGCCTGCAATTTTCTTGAATAATAAGGTAAAAGCAACATGATATGAACATAAATATAAACTAAATGATATGATGCTGATGAGACTAGAAAAATTTAAAATTTAAGTGAATAAAAATGAGATCAAAATTAAGCGTCACCATCCTCATGTCGTGATTGTCATTTTGAGTCGTGTTTGTGCAATTTTATTGTAGTTTTTCGAATCTACCTAATCCATATTCTAACGAAAACAAATAAAAGCAATTTGATTGTATAGTTCTCTAACATATACTACAGGGAAAAAAAATAAATACCCAACTCATTTATTGTTTGCCTTAGTTGATTCTCTCATTTGAGTTTGTGTCACGTCAAGTTTATGCCATATTGACGTGTCATGGCAAAAATTAGCATGTCGGATGCAATACGTAAAATCCTACATTAATATGAATATAGTATATGCATGCCTCACTACTACACATGCTTAATTTCCATAAAGCCACTTACCAGTGAAGGGTGATGTTATATTTAGCCTTGTTGTAGACCTTGATAATCAATTTATCACCTCTATGAACTCTTAACGTTTGGCCAGGAAATTCCCATTCACTGTCAAGATGTTCTTGGTGCTACACATTCTAGTGTATGGAGTTGATTGCACCTGCCAATGTTATCCATCAGCACCCATGTACCCACGCACACACACATAGAGAGAGAGAGAGAGAGAGAGAGAGAGAGAGAGAGAGAGAGAGAGAGAGAGAGAGATTGAAACCAGAAATGTATGGTGATGGGTCTCCCCTTCGGCAGTTTTGATGACCAAAAGCACATGAATGACCAAGAACCCTAGAAGTGTTTTTACATTAGGTGCAGAGCTTTTGAACTCCATGTTTGTCATTAGGAGGAGAATTCCTTCCCCCCCCCCTTTTTATCATAGTTTATTTTCCATTTTTGGGTTTTTTTTTTTATGTAATTAGTTTTAACAAATTAATTCAAGTCGCCAGCCCATTCATGGGTGGCCATATATCCTTTTACATTTAAATATTCATATTACCATTATATCCATTCGTGACGGCATCCTCAGTCTTGTATTTTTTGTCCAAGAACTTTTAAAGTTCTTTCATGGTTTTTATTGCAATATACACATTGTATAATGCATTGTCTAACCTATTGAGAATGTAATTTCTACACAAGAAATTTGAATGCTTCCAAGGATCCAGAGTAACCACCTTTTCTACATTTGTTTCATTCTCATCACGTGAAAGAACATTTTTCTTAAGAAACTTTGCAATATTAAGGGTGGTGATATGGAAAAGCATCTTAGATTGCCAAAATTTGAAGTCCGAACCATTGAACTTCTCGAGCTTCTCCCCATGAGACACACTCAAGGTTGTATGAATAACTATTGTACAAACAATAGTTGGACGAACGTAATCATTTGAAGTTATCATTTCTGTTATACAAACAGAAGTAATAATTTAATACTAAAATCAACAGTCTAACAGAATACACAATTCTGATTTGTGATAGCATAGTAATTAATAAAACACTAGCATAATATAAAATTATGCTTTAGACTTGTGCTTAATCTAATTATAAAATACAAAATTTGTCTTAAGATTGTTATGGAAAATATGTAAATAATTAGATTATATTAAACTGTATAAAGTCTAACTTATGCATAATCTAAACATAATATACAGAAATTAAAACCAGTGCACTTACATTGATGCAGAATAGTACGAATAGTAAAATTTAGAAAATCAGAAATCCAATAATAAAAACAATAATCCGAGCCCTGTGTAATCACAGTTTTCTTAAGAGATAGATTTGTTTTCTCTCGGTGCTTAATGTTGATAGCAATTGTTTCTCAAGATACAATGGATTTCGTTTTTGAAGATGCAACACTTCAATCTCTAAGATTCCAACGAACACAAATTTGTGTTTATACTTGAATTGAACTTGAAATAATAATGCAGGAATATGTATAGAGAGAGAGAGAAAAAAAAGAAAGACTAAATACTTAATTCAGTATTTTGAATAATTGAGAAAACTAGAATGAGAGAGTAATTCTTGAATTGTTCAATGGTATGTTTTGGGAGTACAAAAAATCACCTATTTATAGACTCACTAGTGACTTTTCATAAATGGTGTAACCATATGTAATGATACATTTTAGTTCAAAGGATATCAATGATGACTTTATCACAAAAGTTGTGACTATCTGTAATGGTTTTTTTTAACCAAAAGGTGTTAATGGTGGCTTTGTGGAAAAAATGTAGCTATTTAGATTGATGTCTTTAATCAAAAGTCACCAATTTTGAATTAGTAACCTTTCATGTCATATTCACTTCACATCTTTCAATTGCTTCCAAAAGTCACCAAGACTTTAACAACATTTTCAATTGTTTCTAAAAGTCACAAAGACTTTAACAATTTCTCATTTAATACTTAATGGTTTTTTAAATAAATATACCATTATTTCCAACACGTATCAATTGTAATATTTTAGAATTACTTTCTACTTTGATATGATGTTGTTTTGTTATTTTTGTCATGCTAAAATATTCATATTTTTCAAAATAATTGTGTAATTTAGGCAATAAACCTAAATGACTCATATTTTTCAGATATTTCCTATTAACATGACAAAGACGAGCATGCCATGTGAAGACTCTGCCCCATTACCGGGACCCTGTCTTCCAAGGGCATTCCTCCCATTACCGGGATATCCCGCCCTCCACCAAAGGATTTCGGCTAACCTGCGGGGCAAACCCCCACAGTAGCCTTTACCCCCGTCCCACATCGGGGAAGGAGTCGTCTCCCCACTCCCATATAAGCCGAAGCACCATATGAGAGCAGTACCCAAGTAGCACACTGTGGTACTTGGGTACTGCTCTCATATGGTGCTTCGGCTTATATGGGAGTGGGGAGACGACTCCTTCCCCGATGTGGGACGGAGGTAAAGGCTACTGTGGGGGTTTGCCCCGCAGGTTAGCCGAAATCCTTTGGTGGAGGGCGGGATATCCCGGTAATGGGAGGAATGCCCTTGGAAGACAGGGTCCCGGTAATGGGGCAGGGTCTTCACATAAAAGGCGCCTTTTGTGTGAAGACTCCTCCCATTACCGGGATGTAGGTCTTCCAAGAGCATTACCGCCCTCCACCAAAGGATTTCGGCTAAAGCAGGACTCGCCCCACAGTAGCCTTTACCTCCGTCCCACATCGGGGAAGGAGTCGTCTCCCCACTCCCATATAAGCCGAAGCACAATATGGAAGCAGTACCCAAGTAGCACACTATGTGAAGACCCTGTCCCATTACCGGGACCCTGTCTTCCAAGGGTTAACCTCCCATTACCGGGATATCACCACCCTCCACCAAAGGATTTCGGCTAACCTGCGGGTCAAACCCCCACAGTAGCCTTTACCTCTGTCCCACATCGGGGAAAGAGTCGTCTCCCCACCCCCATATAAGCCGAAGCACCATATGAGAGCAGTACCCAAGTACCACAGTGTGCTACTTGGGTACTGCTCTCATATGGTGCTTCGGCTTATATGGGGGTGGGGAGACGACTCTTTCCCCGATGTGGGACAGAGGTAAAGGCTACTGTGGGGGTTTGACCCGCAGGTTAGCCGAAATCCTTTGGTGGAGGGTGGTGATATCCCGGTAATGGGAGGTTAACCCTTGGAAGACAGGGTCCCGGTAATGGGACAGGGTCTTCACATAAAAGGTGCCTTTTGTGTGAAGACTCCTCCCATTACCGGGATGTAGGTCTTCCAAGAGCATTACCGCCCTCCACCAAAGGATTTCGGCTAAAGCAGGACGCCCCCACAGTAGCCTTTACCTCCGTCCCACATCGGGGAAGGAGTCGTCTCCCCACTCCCATATAAGCCGAAGCACAATATGGAAGCAGTACCCAAGTACCACACTGTGGTACTTGGGTACTGCTCTCATATGGTGCTTCGGCTTATATGGGAGTGGGGAGACGACTCCTTCCCCGATGTGGGACGGAGGTAAAGGCTACTGTGGGGCGAGTCCTGCTTTAGCCGAAATCCTTTGGTGGAGGGCGGGTTCCCGGTAATGGGAGGATTGCCCTTGGAAGACCTATATCCCGGTAATGGGAGGAGTCTTCACACAAAAGACGCCTTTTATGTGAAGACCCTGCCCCATTACCGGGACCCTGTCTTCCAAGGGTTAACCTCCCATTACCGGGATATCACCACCCTCCACCAAAGGATTTCGGCTAACCTGTGGGTCAAACCCCCACAGTAGCCTTTACCTCTGTCCCACATCGGGGAAAGAGTCGTCTCCCCACCCCCATATAAGCCGAAGCACCATATGAGAGCAGTACCCAAGTAGCACACTGTGGTACTTGGGTACTGCTCTCATATGGTGCTTCGGCTTATATGGGGGTGGGGAGACGACTCTTTCCCCGATGTGGGACAGAGGTAAAGGCTACTGTGGGGGTTTGACCCACAGGTTAGCCGAAATCCTTTGGTGGAGGGTGGTGATATCCCGGTAATGGGAGGTTAACCCTTGGAAGACAGGGTCCCGGTAATGGGGCAGGATCTTCACATGCCACATATTCACACAAGAAACAATGTAAACGAAAGAAGTAGTTTCATTTATTTCAACATTCAACTTAAATATACCACCACAAGCATAACTTTTACCAACAAATGACCTGTATTTGGTCAAAACAAACTGATCAGATTACGTGATTTGTTTGAAACCAGTTTTATTTAAAAGATAACCAAAAATCAAATTCTTTTTGATTTTAAGAGTGTGAAAAACATCTCTTAGGGTCAAAACTCGGCCAGAAGTAAATTTGAGTTTGATCTCTCTCATGCCCAAAACACTCATATTATGTGAATCACCAAACCAACACTTTTTTTATATCATTTTCAACAGGAGAGAAGACTTGAACCAAGATTTAATATGAAAGACATGTGTAGAAGCTCCAGAATCTGCCCACAACCCTTCACTATTTTCAATAAAATTAACCTCAGTAATCATGACCACAAGAGATTCCTCAGTCATATTAGCTTGAGGAACATAACCATGTTTTTTAAAACAAAAATCTTTGGCAAAATGTCCATGTTTTTCACACACAAAATAAGCACTATTATTTGACTAATTATTTTTATTATATAGTGTTTGTTTGGAAGGGAGTCCTAGGTTCGGTACTTGGTTTCATTTCTTTTGAAAATGATTTTTTTTAAAGTCTTATTGAACTTTTTTATGTTATTACCTCTAGACTTCAAATAGGTATTGTTTCTATTATTTTGACCCTTAGAGACGTTATCATTGGATGTAATAAAATATACCATATTGTTGATTTCATTACCATTGAGATTTCCTTTAGTGTTGTTGGTCTTATCTTGTTTTTGGCCTCCTCCTCAATTCGAAGTCGAGCTATCAGATTCAACATGCTTAATTTTGATTGCTGATGACAAAGACCCTTTTGGTACTCCTTCCATGAAACCGGCAGATTGTCGATAACTGCTACAATTTGCATTTGTTCATCCATTCAGACACAATTTTGTGAACGATCATCTATAGCTTATGCGTTTGAGCAATAACAGATTTATTTTCCATCATCTGAAATTTAAAATAACAATTGCAAGCTTTTTTTTTTTTGTCCCTGCTTCTTCTATATCGCACTTTGTCTCCAAAGCTTTTC